TGATTCATCACCAGCTTCATCCTTAGACTCCTTGTGTTGCATTCTCTTCACTGGTGTAAAAGTCAACATATTATCACCGAGCGTTGTCATTTGATTGTCATCAGATTCAACGAATTCACTTATCAAATTCTGCAAGACAATTAAAGTGTCTGACAATTAACGTCATGTTTTTGAAGATTGTCATTTACTATACATATAAAAGAAAAGTAAGATACTACGTGAAGGTTAACCTTTGCGCACGATGAAGTTTCACCAATAGAGATGCAACGTGTTGATGTTTTTTCAGCAGTTGAAAATCCGAGAGTCACATCAGTCTATACCAAAGACATGTCAAGGAATTATCATGCCAAATAGAGTTTACTTAACAGTTGAATAGATAGTCATTATGCGTTTGATATATAAGAGAATAAAGTCAAACCTGGGCAGCGAAGAAAATTGAATTCACATCCTTGTATTTTGAAATGATTCGTTGATTGAGACAGATGTCGATCACATGGTAAGTAGGCTCAAATTCATTGAAGCGCTCAGTCTTCACTTCAACTTTGAAAAGGAATGACTTATCAATCATGAATCGTTGAAAAGCATCTGGTTGGATATCAAACCCTGGCACATTCTGGGTGACATTTTCAACAAAAAATCTGTGAATACTGTCAATATCTACACAACAAATGTTCAAACGTGTAGTGTCGCCTTCCTTATCACATTGAAGTATTTCATTTCACATATGAAGGATAATCAAGTCATGCGATTAATGGCTTATTTTTTTCATGTTCAGTTTCATTTATGTGAATATATCGCTTATTTATTCATTTGTGTGTACAATCACATTTGTTTTAAATTTCAAATCGTGTCACGACATCAGACTCTAAGTAATAACCTATATTTTTGATATATGATCCCATTTTTTCAGGATTCTAAAAGAGTGATACGTGTGACAGAAGTTAGTTAAGATTGAAATCTTGGAACTCATATCCAAACATCATTTTTTCAAAACACATTCTAATTTCAGTGTTTATTTTTTGCTCCACTGACAGGTTTGTTGATCTGTCCCCAATTGGTATGTCTAACATTATGCCATGTTATGTCTAACATTATGCCATCATCTGTCTATCTAATGCTGGAAATCAGATTGGTCAATGTGGAGAAAAGCAGAAGCAATGTCGGGGTGGTGGAAAAGATAACACATCGGTCGTAACTCAATAAATTCACACATAAATGGGTTCACAGTGTATTATCATCAGACATGAATAGTACCTCACAATATTTCATCATCTCTGAACACGATTTATGTAGCAGGAGACTTCCAACATCTTCAAAAATGACAAAAGTGGCACTGTCTGTGGTGTCAATTACCCTAGCCTTAATTCGATACCTGTTTTTCATCGGTGAATGATACACTTGATTAATTAAAGTGTTTAATATAATATGAAATCAGTTGAGATGTAATTAGGAAAAAACCTTGGAATCAAATGTACAACGCGCCTATTACACTCATTGCAATAATAAGTGCCATTCCGTGGGATCACCTCCGAGCCACATCTACATGTCGCTATAAACCAATCAGGACCACAATCAATACCTTTGATTGTTCCATATACTGCATATTCACCATCCTAAAGACAGATAATAAGAAATGCATTACATGTATTGTTTTGAATTATCAAAGGAAAATACAGCCGTTGAAGTGGACATAACAAACCTTAGCACAATCCTTTAATGCCTCGATTGTTTGTGCTTCCGTGTTTTTTAGAAAATCTTCTTCTACAGAGTAAGACTTTTCAGTGCTCTCAACATTGGGTTTGACATTGAAGTCACGAATAGATTCTAAATATTTATTCATTATTCCCGAATCATGACATATCTTTGACACCCTAAAAGACTGATCGTGACGACTCCTAAACATAGACCGGACCTCGACCTTGAAAAGAAATGCCTTCCCGAGTAGATGATCAGCAAATTCTTTTGGACTTTCAGAGTTTCCTTCCTGATTTAGGATGTGTTTGATAACATACGCAAATACATTAATGAAAGTGATGGTATGTTTAAATAAACACTGAAGAAAGTGATGGATTGATCAGTTTGCATACACCATGTGTAATGGTGTGAAATATATATTAGTATTACATATTTCAGTGAAAAAAAACAGTCACTTTTCATGAGCCAAAAATACGTGTACCATGAGATCTTACAACGGTATGAGAACATATGAGTACTTACAGAATCAGCTTTTTCAAGCAAAAGGACACAGGAAGTGTTTAGAATCGAGGTTGCCTCACGATCAAATAAAACGAAGGTGGTCTGGCCAATATCATCTTCGACGGTGAGCTTGATTAAATATCTATAAAAAACAGTTTTCACATTAGTCAAAAGTTATACACAGGTGAGAAATTAATAGAATTTGTGAAGAGATTATAATCCTAACCGTGGAGTGACATTCAGAACACGGCAAGTGCAATTCACACAATAATACATAGCGCCATCGGGTTTCACAGCTCTATTGCACTTGCAAGCTAAATACCACCAATCTCCGCTATTGTTGACTGCCACAATGGTCCCATACACTACATATGAACCATCCTGTTTCAATTTTTAAAAAAAGTTTTATTGAACATTAATAACATCATCTATATACAACCACATAATAACTGTTGATTTCTATGTCCTTTATATACAGCATTATTTAATGCCCTCAAAGTTAGTGAATGAAAAAATTACCTCAAGACATGCTTTAAGCTGAGATATCACCATCCATCGGGATGTATCAAGAAACTCAGTTTCCCGTGAACTTATAGCGTCATCACATGTCCACTTTAAAGGTTGACGTTGCGTTCCTACTCCCGAATTCCTTCACGAAAGGTTTTTTATCAAAGCAATGTCGTGTGGCAGTAGTTTAAATTACTATTTCAATCAGAATATTGATAACACACGATGTGTTAGAGATGAATAGACCTACCTCCTTCTAAACGCGGTGACTTCTTCTACATCGGGATTCAAAAGCAGCCGGGTACCGTACATAACATTTTGTAAAACAACTTTTCCTGCTAAGCACTACGTGTTAGTTTGAATTGAACAAATAGTGTATTAATAAAAAAATTTGTCAAAAATTATATGTGCGTAGTAAATATGTTTCTAATACCTTGGGATGTTTTCACTTTGGCATATTGAATTACAATAACGGCATCCAGTAATGGCTGCTTTTGGAAGAGGCTCTTAAGCATGTCAACATGTTCCCCGAACAGAGTCACATCCAACTGCATACTACTTTGTCAAATATATACAAAAATGAATCAGAAACACGAAACCCAAAGTACATATAAGTGTATGGTATGAGTTTAAAATAGTAATGCAGTACCCTTCTGCCTCTATGGTTATCGCAACCATTTTTGTTCTTTTTGACTCTTTAACTATTTCCTTTTCCTTGCCGACAGAAGTTAATGTTCCCATGGTGTCTGAAATAATCGAAATTAATTACAAACTTATATATTAG